GAGGACCGGGATTTTTTAAAGGAAAATGATTTTAAAGTACAGTTGTTGGACATAATTTTTAAGCTTAGTGCTTTTAATTTGTGAATGCATTCCAATTAAATGTATTGGTTCAAGTATTTGGATAACTCTTCGACCCAAATATTACTGTTCCTTTTCAAAAAGCAGCGTCACTTTTTATATTTCCTTTTGTGTTCCAGATCTATGTATTATCTCGGCACCCAAAAGACAAAAGGTATCAACAAGCTGATGTTTGGGTGCACTGAAATAGAGCCCAACGCTGGCTCTGTATTGGGCTTCGTGGCAGCATGTTAAATGACGCCATTTTATTGCGTTTAGACGGATCAGATGGTGCATGGATCCCTCCCCACAAGAGGGAATTCAAATCCTAATTTGTGATGGTTTAAGGAATTTTTTTGTATTTTCCCTATTAGAAATAGTAAAGTTGCAGCTTGGGTTTAGAGCCCGAAGCCACAAATCAAGGTACACACACAAAACTCAGACATTGCATAAATTGTACGAGAATGAACAAAATCTAAGCATGTGTTTCAGTGTTATATGTTTCGTTCTGGTTTGGATTGGATGTAAACTTCCGTGGTCTCAGCCTGAATCTTGTTGCCATGTTTTATGTTTTGTAGGCTTAATAAAATTGTGATTTAGGGATTATTATTATTATTTTCTCTTAAACAATTACTTATTTAGTTGGGAGCTATAGGGCGATGGAGAAAGCATACCTGAATCTGTTTTCCGGAAGTTGCAATTTGCAAAACGGTGTTGCCTTCTTCGTCCTTGCAGTTCAGAATGTCCCCTCTATCACGCTTGCCAAGTTCTTCCATCAAAACTTTAAAAACAATCAAATGGTTGTTTTTCAATGCAAGATGAAAAACAGTCTCTTTTAGAGCAGTTAGTCTTTCAATGGACTGTGGACACAGAGTCAATAATACCCTCATAACTTCCTCGTCGCCGTTTATTGCCCCCATATGAACAAGGGTTCTGAATTGGTTGTCTCTCAGAGGACACAGTTCACGAGGATCAACCTCAACTAGTGCTTTCACAATTGTAACATCCGCAGTCTCACAAATGTAGTGCGCGATGCTAGAACCATCCTGGTTTCGCTGCCAAGCAAGATCAGGTTTTAATCGGATGATTTCCTTAGCACAGTTGACGCTTCTACAATCACATGCTATGCGTAGTGGATTGTTCTTCCAAGTCCTTGAGACTTCTTCCCTCATGTAATTTTCAAGTACTCGTGTCAAGTCCGTGATATCATCCTCCTCCATGGCTATCCTGAATACCTGATCAGCCATTGATCTCTCTCAAAATGCGGGTGAAAGTGATGATGATCAGGCAAGTGGCAGCTTAGCCGGCCGATATTGGAGCTTGGTCACTAACAGATGTTTTTTTATTCGCAGAGGGAGTTTAAGCCTTGGAGAAATGTGTAAACACGCGGAAACCAACTGGCTCTTGTAGTTTATTAGTTAATATCGAGGACACTTAACTGCTAAAGAAGAAACTGAAATTTTCACTGTGTTTGTATCGCTGGAATATTGGAATGGAAGGAAATATAAGAAGGAGATTGTCATTATTATATTTCTTTTTGGTAAATAAGATTATCTGATTATTGTTTCTTTTTTAAAAAAAAAAAAAAAATTAATAATTGTGAAATTGTGGCCCGAATTTTATTTTGGTCCAGTTATTCTTAAGATGAACTCAGTCTGAGTTTTCTCTTGCATGCTGTGTACTGAGTTCTAGAAATACATTTAGAGGTTTAGGTGTGTTACAAGAACACACGGATGGCTAAAGAGAGTGAGAGAAAGAGAAGGTTCGGGATTGAAACTTGTAAACTTAAAATCTTGCTTTAGGCCGGGCCACGAAAATCATTATGCTCTTCCTGAATCATGGAATGTGTTTGTTTAGCTTTTATCGATTTTTAAATTTATTCTTTGTTGACAATTTTTTCTAAAGCATTACTTCTTTTAATACTGATCATCTTCTTCTTACTTACTAAAGTTCAAGATTTCAAACAAAGATAAATTTGAGTAAAAAACACTAATTAAGATATTTTTTAAAATATTATAAGACCATCTCTAATTGTTGTGTATATTTTTTTGTCATTTTATACAAAAATTTTAAATTATTTATTTTTAACTTAAGTGGTTGTTTTATTCTTTTTGTATAAAAATATATCTCCAAATGACAACTAATCATTGTCATGGCTGAACCCCACATAATTTTTACAAACTGACTTAATATAAGGTTGATTTGTTAATGAAATAAGAAAGAAGGAAGAGACAGTGTAAAAAGTTGTGTAAAGTACACAATAATTTTACCTATTGGTGACGTGGCCAAGTATCTTAACAGACTGTTGAAGATTAAAAAAAAAAAAATTACACATCATATGGTGTATATTTTACATAAAACTATATTTTAACAGACTGCTATAGATGTTGTAATAAATTAATTCAATAATGAATGTGCCTTCTTGGTAAGTAAAAGTTACAAGAATCTAAGCAAATAAATATTTTACGCACATCTTCTACTCTATTATACACGCAAAATTGTGAATGTTTTTCATCTCTTTATTTATGTGGTTAAATATTGGTATAGGATTTAAAATAATAAAGAATATGCAAAATTAGTATATAAATACTACCATATTTTTATCTCCATTTTCTATTTGAATCACTATTATACCCATATACATAAACATGGGTATTTTTGTCATACTATTTCATTTTGTATTTTAAATTTTACTAAGGCTATGTTTGTTCCACATCATGGAATTGAAGTCTTCAAATTGGTATTGATGGAATTGGAAAAAAGTTTAGTTCAAGTTACATAAAATTGAATTAAAATTTTATTCAATTTCAATTTCAAGATTCCAATTATGTGAAATACCATCATTTTTATAGCTTTCATTGTTTTCCCCTCCTTTAATATAGGAAAGACTTCATATTATCCCAATCATTTTTTTTTTTTTATTACCTTTTGTAACTATTAGTGTAAAATTTCCTAGGTGTAAACAATTTTTTGGAGGGAGGTGCCGTGTTACCCAAGTTGTAAAGGATTAGTCCTTTAGTGTCCCCTACCCTATGATCCTAGGTTCGATTTCCCTCCCCCACTAACTCCTAACTCTCTTTGCTAGGTCAAAAAAATAATAATAATAATAAAATAAAAATAAAAATAATATTATTAATAATTTCTTGGAGGGGTGCGTGAGGACCAATTGATAAAGAAAAAAAAAAATATTAGTCTATAATCATCCTTACATTTTATTTTTCAATTTTTTTAGTGTTGTTTTGGTATATTATAGAATTATTATGTTGCCCTGTTGTGAAGATATTTTTTTATTAATTTTGAACATGCAATCTGTTTCCGGTGCCCTTTTTGATCATTATAGTGTAATCCCTGTAACCTTAATTTTTGAATTAACAATCCTAAATTCGTGTATTCTTGCATTAGTGTTTAATATATTCTTTTTTTTTTTTTTTTAAATATATATTTTCTGTTTAATTTTACAACAAACAAGTTTAGGACCTCCATAGCATGTGTTCCGCTTGATCATGACGATTGAGGGTTAAAATTCGGCATAGTATGGTTGGACCGTTTGTGATCAGTACCTTGCATATTACCCAAAAAAAAAAAAAAATAAATAAATAAACCACAAACTGAAATTCTTAAACCTCTGTCTAAAATTTCAATTTATTGCGAAATATTTTTCCGTTTAAAAGTTATTTCTCTCTCAATTTTAAGCATTCAATTTGAATCTAAATCACTTAAATTTTGTCGAAATATTATTATGTACAAAATTCAATCTTTCACAGATAAACATACAGGTGTAATTTAGAAAAAAAAAAAAAAAAATCCATGTAAATGTTATACCATTTGTTATATAAATTTTTAGACGATGTATAATGAATGAAACACATTTAAATTATGTTTCGTACACTGAAATGGAATGTCTATTTCAACTCCTTATTTTTTTCCTTTCAAAATTATGGAACCACCATTCCACTCCAGTTGACATTGTAGGTTGTTGTTTTTGTTGATATATATGCCTCTAGAGAGTGTTCCATAGGCTTGTTTTGTGTCCTTGGCACTATGTGCATACTTATTTTTTTTTTTTGGCGCAGCCAAGGGAAGGACAAGGATGTTGTGAGTCCGCAAGTTTTGTTATTATCGTTTATTTTTTGGCTGAAAAAGCATTCAAAAGCTAGGCCGTACACCAAAGTACTAGTACGGAGTACTTTTTTTTAATTTTACTTTTAATTTTTCATTAATTACAATTTGAAGAAGACCACCAAACAAAACAAAACAACAAAACAAAACAATATAAGTCTTGTTCACGGCTCTACCAAGAAATTTCGCTGGACAATCCGTTTTGGGGAATAAAAAATGAAAAAGAAAAAAAGCTACGAATTACTTAGTTTGGGCGGATGGTCCAATCAACTTTGAAACTATCGTTTTGTTTATAGGGTAGAAACTTCGAGATTATCATCTTAGTGATTTTGAACGTAAACTAAATGGCCATTGTTTTATGTGATGGCCATGGTGTATGAGTTTGACTTCGGTGATAATAACTATGCCTGTGATGGGTATAATACACAGTTCAATCAAATTTGAAATAAAGTATTTTTGAACTTTAAATAAAAGATTGACTAATAATATTAAGTTCTACAGTAACAGTTTGAAATCCAGACATACAAGCTTTGAAATCAACGATTTACCGAAAAAAAAAAAGGCTTTGAAATCAATGGTAAAATTTAAATATATAGCTAAACTATAATTTCTTTATACTTAAAACCTATATCTATTCATTTCAATACCACCCTGACAATGACAGTTTTTCACATACCAATACAACATTTATATACATATATAATTGAATTATAAAAAAAAAAACCAAAAAACAAAAAACAAAATTGAATAAATACTCAATCCACCACATATCATAGAAAGCACCCTGTTGCAAGTCGACCACAATAGTAGTCATACTGGGCCATATGTTTGGAAACTCCTTTGCGTTTCATGGTTCTAATCCGAGAGACAACAATATTGCCGATACAGTCATAGAAGAAGACGCATCAATGTATAGAGATAGATACTTGGGTAAGGACAACGAAAATGGGCTCACTGCACTTCATGTTGCATGCGGAGAGGGTGATGTGGAGGTTGTGAGAAGGTTAATACATACAAGTAGCATACCGTGCTTTTCGACGGATAAGTGTGGAGGAACGCCTCTTCACACTGCGGCAATGAATGGCAGATTGGACGTTGTAAAGGCGTTGCTAGATGCTTGTCCTGAATCTGTGAAAGAGGTCACTGCAACTGGGAGGACGTGTCTTCATGTCGCCGTAATGTATAACAAGGGTACAGTCGTCTGCTACATTGTGAAATGGCTCCACACAAGGAAAGATTACGCCTATCTAATTGATGAAAAGGATTTTGTTGGAAATACTGTTCTCCACCTTGCTACATCAAGAAAACAACTCCAGGCAATTCTTCTCCTTTTCCACTCATTTTTTTTTTTCTTTCAATTATTTATTTATCTATTTTTTAATTTCAATTATCTTTCTTGTTAATCCATCACTATCCTTGTGTCTAGTTAATTTCTGTCATCCTTATTCTTGCTGAAACACATATCAGAGATGTGGAATGAGTTATGAGTGGTGCTGGCAAGACAAACAATTCAAAATTAATGAGCAATGGATACTGGAACTTGCTAATGTTTCTCTTTTTCAATTTGGCTAAATTTTGACACATCGGCCATGACAAATTTCATCCAAATATCTTCAATAAATTGGCCTGGTTCAAGTTCAACGCATTAGTTGCTTGAGATGGGCAATTATTTTTATCGCTTGATTGGGTTTGAGCTGTTCTACAAATTAATGGAGACTGGATCATAAATGGTTTAAGGTCGGATTGCATGTAAGAATCAAAGAATGGCTGAAGTGTGCTCACTTTGCCTACTCAGGTAGCCTAGTCAGGGTTGCTCATGCTCTAGGGTTTGGCGCGGCATCAAATTAAGAATTAGGACTCTGATACTAACTGTAAAAAAGGTATGTTGTAGACATGAAAAACTAAGCTCGGTCCAATTCTTATCCTATACATGCATGAGGAGTGTCCTAAAACAAAAGGTTGGGTGTTTCGCAATTTGACTCAAAAGCTTAACCTATTAGGTGAAGTAACACTCAACTCATATATACCCATTTCAATTCTCATTCGAATCAAAATGTTGAGATAAGACTCACCTTGTAACAATTATTTTGCACAGCGAAAGATCTAATACCATTTGTTAGTCCCAAATATTTTGGGCCACTGTGTAAACAGTAAACGACGCAACCACTAGAAGACATCAATTCCAAACCACAACACAGGATATACGTGGTTCACTTAAAATTTGGGCTACGTTTATGAATGAAGAAACTTCACTATAATTATGTAGAGATATTATAATGAAAAATAATACTGAACACCCAATGACAAATACCCCAGCCTTACACCATGTACCACTCTACGAGACACTTCTTCACCATGAGTGCTCTATCTACCAAATTCATAAACTCACCTCTACCTATGAACTTCCTCATGAAGCTACATCCCTCTCACCTCATCCTCTATATTTTTCTCACTGCTCAATACCATATAAACTGTTTGTCCCTCACACACTACTCAACCAAATACCCTGCTCAACTTATACTTCGAAGGTGCCAACAACACACCTTTCAAGCAACAACCCTGCTGCGCCAACCAACAAGCTTGCTGACTTCTGGAATACACCCAACATTTATAACCAAACACTTGATACGATTCACTAATCAACCTCATCCAAATCACATCACGAAACACAAACTTGGGCGTCACGTCCAAGAGACTATCCAAACACATTGTCTCTGTGGAAGCAAACTTTTTCTCGTTGCTACATGCTTCCTGAAATACCTTCTCTCAGAGGTTCTGCAATCTGCACCGGAGTACACTAGTACCGCTCCCCTCTTCAATGATTGGAGAAATATTCCAGAGTGAGAAAAAGTAAAGGGCATAAAATGAAATTAGGCTAAATATTACCAACATCCGTGTAGTTTAGGGGTACCAGAGCCTTACTTCTCAAAAGAAGGTAAGAGGTTTGAGCCTCCATGAAGGCATGTGTGTGTGAGTACCAACAAGAAAAAATAAAATATAAGGCTAAATATTGTTTTCGTGCTGAATGGTGGGTCTTCCACACATGGGAAAGATTTTCATTCTGAGATATATATATATATATATTTTTTGGAAAGGTTGAGCAAGTGTATAGCTTTTTGCAACGTTAAATTATCATTTTATCTAACTCTCTCTCTCTTTTTTTTTTTTTTTTTTTTTTAATGTAGACTTTAAAAGTGTTGCTCACCTATGATCCAACCATTAGAAGTTTAGTGGATGTGAACACCTTGAACTCTGGCAGTTTTACTGCTCTCGATATTCTAGATGTTCTGCCATACGAAGGGAAGATAGATATGGAGATTGATAAGATCCTTCGTCGAGCGGGAGCCTTGAGAGCCCGAGATCTCGCCAAACATGACACTAACCATGATGCTGTTTATAATAGTATAAAGGATCAGTTCCACAAGTACTCACATAACACAATAAAGAACATCATCGAACCTCCGAGAGAATCCACAAATGCGTTGTTATTGGTGGCCACAATGGTTGCGACTATCACCTTCGCTGCACTCCATGTTCTCCCAACTAGTTTACTCAAACAAGGCTATGCATATAATTATGACGTAAATGGCTTCCCCCAACTGAAAAATCAAGATTCAATTATAATCGGATCATTCATACTGCTCAACTCCACCGGGTTTGTTGCATCGGTTGCATTGATTATCTTCCTCCTCTATGAATTCCCATTGAAACCGTGGCCGCAAATCTCAATTTCTACTTTGTTCGGATCTTATATGTGCTCGATAATGGCAATATCACCAGGTGAAACAATGGCTCTGTTCTTCCTAGTAATTCCAATTTTTATACTTGCAGCTGCAGGAAAATTTTATGGCTTTACTCGGCAGGGGTCCTAGGGTTTGAACCTATTAAAATGATGTTTACTCATCTGCTAGTACATGGCACATTGTGGAATTTATGCAGTCAGATAAAATGAAAATCTCTGTATTGTGTGAGTCTGTATAAAATTATAAGTGGAACTACTGCAAAATAATAGTGATAAGGTGTGTGATGCTTTGTGGTGAATTTGTTTCAATTTTCTTTTTCTTAATTAAACTTTCAGCACAGATTCAATGGTGTACACCAGAGTACAAGGTTTTTCAGTTAATAATGCTCAAATATTTTTATTTATTGTATGTGTTTCAGAGGCTATTAGGATTGAAACCTAAACAAATGTAATTTGGAAGGCAATCATTCCAACAGTTAGGCTACAGGTTCTTTTAGTATGTGTTTAATTTAGAGGCTATTTGATTTTAATTTTTTTTTTCTCGTAAATTAATTTACTTATACAAGGAAACGGTGTTAGAATAATCACAATTATTACATTCTCAAAATAATATTTTCGTATTTTCATTCCTTAAAATTTCACAAAAAATGTTGCCATTAGTTTTGAAAATTTGGTTTTGAATTGGTTTATGAAAATAAATGTAATACACTCGAGTATTTCAACGTCACTAGGTGGATTCGGACTTGCACAATTCGATAATTAACTCCTTTGTCCAATAGTAATTTTGGAAAAAAAAAATTCTTTTAAAAAACGAATCATAAAAACTGAGTTTTTACGCTATTTGGATATTTAATGATTCATGAGCTTTTAGAAAAAAAATGACCTTATGAAATTTTTTGTTAAATTATAAATCACATTAAATTTTTTGTTAAATTACTACAATGGAGAGGACTCTAATGATAATTTGTTTTGGTCATGTTGCTATGCAAGGCAGGTATGGTGTTGGTTCTGTGATTTGTGCAATTGGGATGATGACTTGCGGGGACTAAATTCTCTAGAAGCTGTCACAAGCTGGTTTCTGTCTAAAACTGATGATGACTCTATGAAGAGCAAGATTCAAAAGTGTACGTTTCTTCACAGCCATTATTTGGGGCCTGTGGAATCATTGAAATCAAGTAATGCATGGAGGGATTCCTAACCTAGCAACTGAGCTAGCTAGGGATGTATGTCTAGAGGGAATATCATCTATTGGTATATCTCTTGTAGATGTGCAGACCATCTTCTAAGTTTAGTTCTTTATTCTTGTTACTTCTGCTCAAGGGTTTTGCCCTTTTCTGGTTTTTGTGCTTCTGTTTTTTTCTGTGATCTCTTCTGTTAGAACACTTGATCTCAATTTGTACCTTAATGTTTATTTGCATCAATAAAATTCCAAAATTCACGAAAAAAAAAAAATAGTTGATTTTATATATAGTTCCTCCTACTGTATTTTCTTTATTTAACTTTATATAATTTTCATAAAAAACATTAGTAAGGGCTGGACGATAATATGAATGACGAAGCGTTTAGGTGTGTGCTATGGAGACTGGAGTGAGTGCGTAGGGGAAGACGTGTATGTGTACGTGTACTGGGGGTGTTTGCGTGTGTGCGCGCCTGTATGTTTTGGTGATCGAGTGGGTATGTGGGCTGCGGAGTGAAATGTGTGTGTGTAAGAATGCATGCAAATGATGTGCGAGCGTGTGGAGAAAACAAAAATTATGAGTGTGGAAGTGTGTGTACTAGTGTATATGAATTTATGAGAATGAATGATCTGCGAGTTGTATTTATAAGAGCATGCATGGTGTCTGTACACTGGTACATGTGAATGAATATGAGTGTAAGTGTGTATATAGGTATGCATGTTGAGTTATTATTATTTTTTTAAAAAAAAACAGAAGGTATATCGGCATGCATGGTTTTTTGCATGCATGGTTTGAGCATACCTAAAAACGTATTTGCATGGGAATGGATGGTGTGATTACGGGGTAACGTGAGTGAGTTTGAGTGTCTGATGAGTGAGCGGTGCTGGAGTGTATGAGCTTATGTGGGTGATTTGTGCAACCGTATGTGTACAGTGTAGTGGTTTTGGGGTCAGACAAGGGAGGCTGTTTGCTTGGTGTTTCGTAGACTAAGTTGGGGTGCGTAGCAAATGTGCATGCTTTACCTTACAAGAGTGAGGGAGTGCTGAAGAATAGGTCCCGGAAGGGATGATTGTGGATAGATAGGGAAAGAGTGGCCGGTGTTTATTTATTTATTATTTTGTGGTGTGTGTAGTCCTTTTTATGGAGGAGGATTTGAGAGAGGAGTTGAATTCCTCTACAGTATAGGCAGAGGAGTCAGATTCGAGAGGAGTGATGTATTATGTGAGAAAGAGAGACAAATATGAGAGAGATGGGAGAAATAATGGTGGCAGCGAAGAGAGAGAATGATACAAAGAGATAGAGATTCTCGAGAGGGAAGAGAGAGGGATGGAGAGGGAGAGAGAGAGTTTTTTTTTTTTTTTAGTAAATAGAGAGAGATTTTTATTTTTTTTTTTATTTTTTTTTTTGTCACCTTTACTGTCATACGTTTTCTTGCTCATTGTTCCATGGCATTGAGAAACATCTACATGTATGGTGAAATAGGAATGATATTTGCACCTAAAGATTAAGCGGAAATATTAAGTTTTCATGTCAAATATAACAAATTGAGATGTATCAATGACTAATAAGATGGAGAAGGTACTAAGTCACATCATTCTCAACAAGTGTCGTTCTTACGTTCCGAACGTGTTCCCGTTTTCACGTGCGTGTTCTCCCTCAAATTCTTATTATTTATGATATAATTTTGCCGCTCTCACTCTCGTTCGCTTTATGTGACTTAGAGTATGCATTACAATTCCGCCTAACTCATCATCGTGCAAGTATCAATATTCATGGTGAAATTACATTTTCATGGTACGTACTTTCCTTTGAATAATTATTTCAAAGGAGGGTAGGAAAAAAAAATGAAGTGATACTGATGATTATATCCCCTTTAAATGAATGGATAGGAAGTTTGAAAACAAGTTAGGGGTTACCCCATGTATATTCTCTCTTTTTCTTAATACAAAGCTTACCCTTTAACTAAAAAAAAAAAAAAAAAAAGGGTTAGGGGTTACCCAATTTAGTTTGGTTTTATGATTTTTAGAAAAAAATTATTTTCTGTTTTTATCCTTCATAATAAATATAACTATAAGAATCTGTTTTCCCATGAGCCATACCATAACCATAGAGAAAACTAATGGTAAATCGTACAACCAAACGACCCCGAAGCTTGAAATCTTGTGACAACCAAAGGTAACCCAGAACTTGGGGATGATCTTCTTCGCTACAAGTGCATAACTAACGAACTTTGCACCCATCACGAATGTTAGATCAACTATGTAGCAAAATGACAACCTGCTCACCAATGACCATGTGTTAACCATTATAAGAACCATACTGCCCAGGAATGTGGCCGTGTTGAACACCATGAAGACGAAGATATCTGGGAGTAGGTTAGGAGATCGACATGATCATATCTTTAGCAACGAGCGTGAAGAGCTCGAAATGGTGCTGTAATGGGTAGATGTTGCTTAAGTTGAAGAGAGTGACATATGCAGCCCCTGCAACAAAAATGAAGACAGCCAGTAGAACCGATTTGCTCCTTGATGATTCGCTAATTCATGAGTGTTCTTGTTTGTGATCTTATATGTACGTAATCTTTGGTGATTTTGGTGGTGGTGAATGGGATGGCCGGTTGTCCTTCACACCTGCAGACCAAGGGACAGCATTTGGAGACTTGTAAGAGAGCAACATATTTACAATCTACATCACAGATATAACTCCTAATTGATCACAGCTACAATATTCATTATATATGTATGAAACTTGGAGAAACACAAGGTTGTCTCCTAACGGTGAGGAGAAATCATCTCCTTATAATTACCACTAATATTTCATGATATCAGTAGAACCTCCTGGCCCTTTACCCGCATCAATCAAGTCTTTTTATGAATTTGATTCAATTGGAAAAAGAAAGAAAAAGAAAACCTCTCTTCCATGCTCAGAAATCAGTGGAAGAACGGCAAAACGGAAACTTCAAAAGGGGTTGCATACGGCTCGCACAAATAAAGACCATTCCATTCGAGCATAATAATAGTAGATTTGGTATCAACTGAAACTAAAAAAATATATGTTTTTTTTCTTTCATTTATTATTTACTTAATGATATGAAGCATCAGAGAATGTTATTGTCAGGAGATGAGTATTGTTCACACACACACACACGGTCTATATATATATATATATAGACCGTGTCAGGAGATAAACTTTTATTTTAATTTAAAATAGACCATGTCAATCATTCTACGATCAGCATGCCAAATCAATGGTTTGGAGGAGTTTCTCCTCAACCGTGTGAGGCAAGTATTGCAAAAATATTTACTATATTAGCATGCACTTAACAAACACATGTTAATTATATGATCAACAAATTTAAACACTTTCTAACAAAAGTACTATACTATCTTTGTAATCACGCCCCACAATCGTGAAAACAAAACGATTCAAATGATCTTTACAAGTCAAATATGTTCTAACACTCAGGTTCATGTATAAGTTTTAGGGTAAATTACAGTGACCTCTAATGAGGTTCGAGCAAATTACACACAAGTAGATCGTTTAGTGTTTACTAGTTTTCACCTTTCCAAATTCTATTCGCGGATGGTTGAAAAGTGACTTTGATTATGAAAAATCAAGAATGCATTTTATTACAATAATATATCATATTGAAATTTATACAATGGAAGAGAAAACTTATCATTTTTTAAAATTTGGTTAACATGTTTGCTGGAAAGAAAATGTTATGGGTGTCGTGTTGAGTACACGCGGCAAATCTGAGAAGAAATCAAAGTAATAAATGATGAACGGACTGCATGTATATAATATGTCCAATCCTCATGGTAGGCCAGTCTAATTTATATTAATTTTTATCTTCTTTTTTATTTGTAGATTGTTGTGGCTTGCTATAAATCTTTTTATTTCTATTTATACACATTTACTTACAAAAATAATAAAATAAAAAATGATTAGA